CATCGTCCGATGACGTGGAAATGCTTAAAATGCTATGCGATACATGAGTACCTCGTTTATGTTTTGGAAGAGTTGTATACGAGAGCCATATTTGCTGTCAGAGTTGCATTAGAGCTGTCTGAATGGTTCCATATTAACCGTGGAGTTTGCCAGGAGTTTTGTTTTCACCTTTGCTGTTCAATGTTTTTCTCGACTTTCTTCTCCGGATCAATGCTTACTCTGGTAAGGACGAAAGTCTCATTCTAGAGAGAGGGTGCAGTTCATGATATTCAGCCAGATATCTTGCTGACCTGAGGTAAGCAGGTGATATTGTTCTAGCGAATAATGCGGAAGTTGGGCTATCTCATGTAGCGGCTTTTGTATGCAAGACAGTTGCATAAGCTAGCCTCATCCTTAACGCTCGGATGTCCAAAGTTGTAAAGAACTCATCCGGCACAACCTACAAGTGTCACAAGAGGGTCAAGCCATTCCGGAGATTGACCAGTTTAAGTATCTTGGCTCCATCATCTGCAGTGATGACCCTGTCCGTAGATAGTTGAATGGGAAAATCGCTCGAACCTCAGGTGCATTTGGTAACCTGTCGAATATTTTGGCGGAAGAATGGATAGCGCTGTCCACAGAAATCCGCTTGTACCTTGCTATTGTCAGATTAATGTTTTTCTACGGTATAGAAACATTTGTTCTAACGAAGGAGCTATAACGACGATTGAATTGCTTGCACCAGAGTTTGTCTCGACCCATAATGAGGTTTAAATAACATTTCCACGTATGGAATAGCCATTCTCTTCTGAGCGCAGGTGATCTCGGTGGAAGTAGAGATTAAGAATAGAACGTTGGCCTCGTTAGACAAGTTGTTTGAGAATGCACCATTTACTCCAACCCATGGGTTTCTCCTGTGGGAGGCGAAGCGCCGCAGATGTAGATAAGGAAGCCAGTGTGCTATATGAAGGATCATGGAAAAGTAGATTTGCTTTCGGATAGGAATATTTTTTTCTGCGATGCTGTTACTGGCGCCTTTTGGTGAAAATGTTGAAAAACTGTGGATACAACTTAATTCACAGACCAGATTCTGCTTATGCAAATGGCTCAGAGTAATGATTTCGAAAATGACGAAGACACTGAACTGGGGTTTACCTGTTAAACAACCAGCAACGCAGTGGAGGAGTCCACTTTTTTAAAAGTTGTATGTAAGTTCACGATAACCGTTTCCTTAAACCTTGACCTATAAGAAGATATTCGATTTCTGAAGCACTACCGTTTGAATGCGTTTTACATTACGGAACCACACAGATCTGTTTTGCACATGACGTTAGGGGCTTTTCGTTTGCAGAGAATTAATCATGTTTATTAACCGTAGGTTTCGTAATACCATATATTTCCAAATAGCTTTCAAGGTTATTAAGATCCGACTATGGAAACAATCTGGGACAATGAATGTACGTCGGTTAAGAGTTATCAGCCCTGCCTTAGAAAATTCTTTTATAATACTGATAATGCGCTTGAGGCAGCCGATGTCACTTTCATTTAATTGCTAAATAATAACTAAAGTCAATTAATGAAGAATCGCTACAGGTCTGCACATGCAGACAGCACGTTATCGCTGCATTCACTCAGTGCATTGTTTGCTTTAGTGGATGGTGCTGTCGATCTTGCGCTAATGATCGTACATTCTCCTGTCTTGTCATTTGGATCTAACTGTTTTTAGGCAGATTTGATCCTAGTTT